CATCTGTGATTCCTGCATTGTGGTATCAGAAATTGCAGTTGCTTTGGCTGGTTGTGGCTTATGAGCTGATAACTTCCTCTCCTCATGATCTGTTTCTATCTGTCTAAGTACAACTCTGAGCTCATCAAAATCCTTTATCGTGTCAAACTTGTGGCCTGATATATCCTTTAATTCTGTCTTCAAACCAGTCCATAGCATAGAATGTAGCATGCCATTTCTTTCTTTTTGTTGTACTAATCCTCTATCTACTGCTCGACCAATGATGTTTTCCAATCTACAACTCCATTTAGTAACTGTCTCAGTATCATCTTGTCTGGCTCGGTAAAATTGAGCAAGTAAATCTTCCTTTTTCTCCACAGCTCCATATATACTGTCAAGCTTGTGCAAGATATCTGGTATGCTGGCTTTTGCTCCAAGGTGCATGGCAACTATTCCTGCATCTCCTTTCAGTGATCGTCTAACAGCATAATTGATGTTCTCTTGGTCGTACAATTTATCAGCCATCAATCCAGTAACTTCATATCTCCAAAGTTCATACCTGGTTTCACCTTTGGTGTTGTTTCCAGAGAAGTTGGATATCCTGGGTGGATCTCTGTACTTGGTATGTTTGGATGGTTCATCTTTCACTTTAGCTTTAGCCTCCTCACCTTTTGCAGCCAAACATTTCATCATCCATTCTTTGATATCTTCTGGGTGTTCTCCCACCTCTTTCTTCAATAATTTCAACAGAGCAATATCTTCAGGTGCAATTGCTTCTGGTTCCGCCATGTTGATATGTGTTTCACTTATAAGTGATTTATAAATAAAAATTCACTCAAAAAAAAAAAAAAATAAAGAAAACAAAATTTCACTCAAAAGTGATATAGGAAAACAAAAATTTACTCAATAGTGAGAAAATGAAATAAAGTTTTCACTCAAAGGTGATAATAATAAACTAAATATTCTGAAAAGAAAATGATAAGTAAAGTAAGCAATAACCAAAATGTAAATAATGAAGAATAAACTAAGATAATTTTCACTAAGAAGTGACTAAATAAGTTTCACTGATAAGTGCTTAAGTAAATTCACTAATAAGTGCTTAAGTAAAGAATATAAAAATCAATTTTCAAATTATCTGAAAAGAAAATGTATAAATTAATCCAAAGATGTCAAATGTAAATAGCAATAAACAATAAATACAAAAGAAAATACAAGTAAATAAATATATGTCTGAAACTGAATAAAGTATAAGTCAATCAAAATCACACAGTAAAGGCTCTAAACAAAAATAGTATATCAGATATGAATGCAAAATATCAACTAAATAATCTCAAATATCACCAAAGAAAATATAATCTACTGGGGAAAAAAAATATTAATCAGGTAATATACCAATCAAAAATCAGATCTGCTTACTAATGTACACTATCTGAAATACAAATCAATCACTCAATGTACCAATGACAATCAGAAATTCCTAATAAAAAAAAAATCAAAGTATGAATAGCTGAAAATAAAAAAAAAATAAAGATATTAATAACTACAAAGAAAATCAATATATTAATATGAAAAGCAATTCATGATAATCACTATATTTATAAACAATACTAAAGAGAATAACACAAATCAATAGAAGAAATATATGTATGTAAACACAATGACTTACCAACTATATGCAAATCCTTAACTTGTATATGGGTTGCAAAGCTTGTACGTCTACAAACCCATGTCAGACAAGTATAATATCAAATCAAAGTAAGAAAAAAAAATAAAATGTAAATAAATATGCAAGTTAAATATATACGAAATAATAAACAGACAACTATATATATACAACTAGGACAAGATAATCACAAGATGAATCTACTGTATCACTGTTCCAATCTACTCAAGTCAAAATACAACTAAACTAACAACAAACTATACCAAGCTAACCTAAACCAACCTAAATATCTCTCCACTAAACACTAAGTCCAAGAAATAGTAATAGCAAAGTTAAATATAGTATAAGTGCCTTTTCCTAGGTATGGTGTACTATGGTGGATAAGTAAGGATGGTAAGTATGAAGGTTAAATAATCAAGTGTTAATTGTAGTGTACTACTCAAGCTCACTGATCTCAATCAAACTTTTAAAGTTTAAACTTTTAATTCAAAATTTAGTCTCTAGAAAAGTTTAACTACTTTATCAAATGTTAAATGTAACAAATATCAATGACAATTGTACACAAACAAATCAATTTCACAATACACATACACAGCAAACATACATGTACATATGACAATGTAAATAACAATGAACAATGTCAATTACAATACACAAACAATAAACATACACATGACAATGTACAAAATAAACAGTATAAAGTACAATGTGAAATACTAAGTCAAGGTGGAATGGACTATGTGTATAACTATGTAACTATCAATCAATCAGTGTATGTTGATATCTCACTGGTAATTTTACTAAATCCAAGTAGGACAAATAAATTTGTAAAATATTTTCAATGTACAACTAAGTGTATGTGTGTATGCACAAAAATCAAAAGTAAATTTTAAATCAGTGTATCTTACTACTAACTACTGATATGTAGTTACTAATGTAAACAAAGATGTCAATATCTAGTACTTCCGGTTGACCTCTATGACCTTTCCCGGGGGGTGGGGATACAGGTGTTTAGGGTCAAAACGAACACAAAAAATGTTCAAGTCTAATTACAAAACTATGTATGAATAACGTCTATCACACTTAATTTACATGTAAATTTATATGCTCAATACCAAATAGCAATTGTCTATCTATTCAATATACAATATCAAGTGCGTTTTTTTTCAATGTTAACTAAAACATGTATGAAAGTTTTGACAAAGTTTTTTTTTTTTTAAACTCAATTAAATTTTCTAATGGCAATTTTCAAATGAACAATCAATTACGACCGGTTCATACAATATATATGACATACAACACAACATATATAAACATTTCACAGTACTGACCCATTAATGAATTCACAATCCAAGTTGATATCCACATGGATCCAATTTCTGAACGTGCTGATTGTTGACACCGGAAGCTAACTAAATGTTACTGGTCAATATACGTAAGTAGGTCTGTGACGTAGAATTATCGATGACGCGCACACAGGTAAAACACAAGTGACATCAGCTGATTTGATCAGTGACGAAATACTACGTTGGGCGCCAAACATGTAGTCTTGTTTCGGGGCAGTAAACACACAAGAAACAATCTAAGGGTTACGGATTCTTTATTTCGTAGTTTATATCATAATCCAAAAATAAATATGATGTCTTGCAAGGCTATTTTATTTTTTTTCTGTGACGCTTTCCTACGTAGGCAGGCGTCACAGAAAAAAAATAAAATAGCCTTGCAAGACATCATAATTATTTGGTCTAGCTAGGGTCTTGCATGTATGAAGGAAAAATGTTAAAATTTCTTGAACAGACTGCAATGGGCATTCTGCCTGAGAACCCTAAATAAAACTGTTCAATGGGTATATTAACTTGCTGCAATACTTTTTTCCAAACATATGGAATTTATCGTCCCAACTTCCACTTGATGTAGCTGTGCATGTCTCTATTTAAATGACACTTTATCCCCCTTTTTTTTTGGGGGGGGGGAGGATTGTTCCTAACATAGAGAAACTGGGACCAAGATACACCAAGGTCTTCTGTTGTGGACGTGTTTTGAGGATCACTGCCTCAAAATGCTATTTTGTACGACTTTTTGAGCCCCCGTGGCAAGGGAGTTTCAGTTCCCCTTGAGTTTCACATCATAAAAACACAACTTGTACAAACCTATCTTCGGGAAAATAGAGTAAATTACTTTACTTTTATCTTAAATACCGACAACAAACGAGCAGCATGTTTATTGTTCACTTTAACAGCTTGCTAAGTTGCGTTTTCAATTGTTTTGGCTAGAGTTGTGAGTTTGACACAAAAACAAGGGCCCAGCGGCCACTTCAAAAGCCTGCCCATTTGTGGGCGATTAAGTGTCGTCCATAAAATTTATGCCACAAGAGTCGGGCGAGTTTAAGTTATCTAACTTTAAATTTGGGCAACTTGAAATTACTCTACTCACCTGTACCGTGGCTTTCTGTGACACACTACCATCTTCGAAGCGGCGTAGAGGAACAACAATGCCTAACTGCGCATGCTCGAGATCGTTCATTTCAAAAAGTAAAATTAGCCCATACCGGACGGTATTGTCAAGATTTTCAATAACGGCCGGGTACCAGTCTATAATGACCGTTACTATGTTACGTAGTCGTATAAAGCTAACTAACAGCTGGGGGGAGTGTGTGGTAAAGTGGTATTTTAGGATATTTGTATTTTATATTTAAGTTTGATTATTTCTATATTTTTAATATAACTTTTCTTATTTCAGAAGATATTATAATTAATACTGTAATATTATATTATTGCATGGTTAAATTATACGGAGTGTAAATTTCAGATTCGCTCAGGTGTGACTTTTATCAGGTGTTTCAATTGGGTTTTATTTGTATTGATTAGTTGTCAATTCTTTGGCGGGAAGTTTTACATTTTCTATATGGTCACTTTGTGTGATGGACACCATTTTCTGTGTTCAGTAAATTCCGATTATATTCTGTTTGGAGTTTGGTTTTCATATTTCTTAGGTCAGTTATTCTTCTTATACTAATATATATTAATTATCTATACTTATAATTATATGTATGCATGATTTATGAATGTTATGAAGAAATGCATGTTTGAATGATGTGTAGATGTGATATGTAAGTGGAATTATAGAAAACTTAAAAGAACTTTAAATCTCTTTAATAATTGTGCTTTTATGGTTAAATACGGTAAATTATATAAAACAGCTAAATTTCAGTAAATGGGATTAAACTATTGAATCTTATAGAATGAATGTTTTATAATAATTTCAGATATTAGATAAAGTCATAAATTGATAAAGATATTAACTATCTCATTTTGATATGCAGAATAGGTTAGTTATTAATTTAATATTTGTACTGCAGGTATCTACCATATTGATGATGCACCATATTGGCATCAACCTGATGTGATTTGAATATTGTATTTCAAGCCTTCACAAATACCTGTGAGGTTCTGTAGGTTATGTTATGTTGAATCTATGTGCGTTATGCTTATTGTATTGTCTGCTTTAGAAAGTGCTTTATGCTTTGTTTGCACGTATGTTCTTGCTTTGCATGTATATGTTATTTTCAAATATGCTTATTTAAATTTGGTATTTAACAGTTCATTGCATTACTGTTATAATGTGTTACTAATGCACCGACATATGCATTATGATTAGATTTGATATTTAGATGTGTTTATGAGACAATAGAATTGGAGATCACTATTTCCGACTTAATGAAATTATATAGTATTCTTTTATTATTGAAATGCTTGGAAAAGTAAACAGTTTCCTTGTTCATAATTGTTAACATAATGTTTTAAAGCTTTTATATAGTTACTTAATTATATTACATCCATTAATATAATGTATTGTTATTACAGAGTATTTATTTTTGGATTATGATATAAACTACGAAATAAAGAATCCGTAACCCTTAGATTGTTTCTTGTGTGTTTACTGCCCCGAAACAAGACTACATGTTTGGCGCCCAACGTAGTATTTCGTCACTGATCAAATCAGCTGATGTCACTTGTGTTTTACCTGTGTGCGCGTCATCGATAATTCTACGTCACAGACCTACTTACGTATATTGACCAGTAACATTTAGTTAGCTTCCGGTGTCAACAATCAGCACGTTCAGAAATTGGATCCATGTGGATATCAACTTGGATTGTGAATTCATTAATGGGTCAGTACTGTGAAATGTTTATATATGTTGTGTTGTATGTCATATATATTGTATGAACCGGTCGTAATTGATTGTTCATTTGAAAATTGCCATTAGAAAATTTAATTGAGTTTAAAAAAAAAAAACTTTGTCAAAACTTTCATACATGTTTTAGTTAACATTGAAAAAAAAACGCACTTGATATTGTATATTGAATAGACAGACAATTGCTATTTGGTATTGAGCATATAAATTTACATGTAAATTAAGTGTGATAGACGTTATTCATACATAGTTTTGTAATTAGACTTGAACATTTTTTTGTGTTCGTTTTGACCCTAAACGCCTGTATCCCCACCCCCCGGGAAAGGTCATAGAGGTCAACCGGAAGTACTAGATATTGACATCTTTGTTTACATTAGTAACTACATATCAGTAGTTAGTAGTAAGATACACTGATTTAAAATTTACTTTTGATTTTTGTGCATACACACATACACTTAGTTGTACATTGAAAATATTTTACAAATTTATTTGTCCTACTTGGATTTAGTAAAATTACCAGTGAGATATCAACATACACTGATTGATTGATAGTTACATATATAGTTATACACATAGTCCATTCCACCTTGACTTAGTATTTCACATTGTACTTTATACTGTTTATTTTGTACATTGTCATGTGTAAGTTTATTGTTTGTGTATTGTAATTGACATTGTTCATTGTTATTTACATTGTCATATGTACATGTATGTTTGCTGTGTATGTGTATTGTGAAATTGATTTGTTTGTGTACAATTGTCATTGATATTTGTTACATTTAACATTTGATAAAGTAGTTAAATACATGCAAGACCCTAGCTAGTCCAAATAATTATGATGTCTTGCAAGGCTATTTATTTTTTTTTTCTGTGACGCTTTCCTACGTAGGAAGGCGTCACAAAAAAAAAATTAATATTATAGCCTTGCAAGACGTCATAATTATTTGGACTATAATTATGATGTCTTGCAAGGCGTCACAAAAAAAAAATGAAATAGCCTTGCAAGACGTCATAATTATTTGGACTAGCAAGACCCTAAAAATAATTTCACTAAATTTTTATCAATTTTTACCAGACTCTGATATTGGGCTAGTGGCTTAAGCACAGACTTTTGCAAGGCAAAATATGTACCCCTATGGAACATGTAAACATTTTCCTGTGCCAGTTAAATATCTGGCCTTTTATTTTTGTAAAGCAACAGAAGATGTGGTATGATTTCCATTGAGACAAATCTCCACAAGAAACCAAATGACACAGAAATAAACAGCTATATGTCACTGTACAGCCTTCAACAATGAACAAAACCCATACATGCCTAACTATAAGAATTATTTGAAATTTGTTTACTGAATATTTATGAAACACTTGCCACTGGATATCACAGTAATCATGTCAAATGAATGATACATTTTGTATATTATGATGTGTTTCTATGACTTGCAGAAACTTTATACACCATTTTAATCATCAACTGCCAACTTTTGATATGTTATTTGTCCTTAAATTAAGAAAAGGTTGGGCGAACAACTTCATTATTTTAGATATACACTTGCATATAGTTCCTTTTGTAAATCCAAACTTATATTAAATTTTCTTTTATTAATTAATGTGGGAAATGTGATTTATCAAGTTAAAGCAGTTGATAAGAAATTTGAAAGTGTTTTAAATTTAATCAGTATCTTATGTTCCTGTAACCCATTGAATAAAATTGGTTCAAGATGTGTATTGATATCAGATCTTGAGTTGGCAGGTCTGAAAATTGTTACTGTTGATATTTCATGTAATTTAACTTCCTTACAAATGTAGATCTAAAATTTGTTTGGATTAAAGAGCTATTTAGTTACCTCACTTTTAATTAGTCTTATCTGAACTTTTTGAAATCAATGTTTATTGTTGAATTGTCTTTCAGAAATTGTCTACCAGTATTTGACGAGAGAGGGCCAAGGTTCCTCACTAGAACATTAGGACCGGTTCTTATTAAAAAGGTGTGACATTCCAGCTAGATCTACATTGTATACCTTATAATGAGAGAAAACACCAGAAACTATTTCCTGAGGTAATTTTAAATAAAACTAAATGGGATATTATATATATATGTGTTTACACTTTTGATAGTAATTTTCAAAATTTATGTACATGTATATTTGTATCTTGATTAGTTTATGGGATTTTTTTTATTGAATTTTTTATTTGGACTACAGGCAACAGCAAATGGTTCATTAACATGTTCAGTTTAATCATAAAAAATTGCAACATTGTTACTATAAAGTCTATAATATATATACAGTCAGGGGAATTATTGAAATAGGTTATTTATAAATCACTCATTTAAGTAGCAAATTAAAAATTCTTTGATTTTGTAGTTTTACCAAAATTTTAAACATACAAGTTTAGATTATATCTTATTATTTGTAAAATTGAAAAAAAATGAACCTTTTGCATGTTTTAAGTAGCAAGGTTTATGCCTTTGATGCAATCATGCAGCTGTAAATTCTATATTTGTTGAAAAAAAGTTATAATGAAGGCTTATAATTTAACATAATGAAATATCAACTTCTTAACAGATTTTTCCAAGCAGTGCCAGTGGGAGTATTTTTCCTGTAAAATTCAAGGTTTTAGAGATTACATGTATAATTGTAATAAAATTTTATTGTTCTGGATCAAAATTTCACTGTTCATGGGTGTTGAAATTAGTGGGGGTAATCAAAATGATAATACTTAAAGAAGTGATTTTTTTGGAAGAAAATAGTCTACAGGTATCCACTTAAACAAGTGATTGTCATGTCATCCTAGATTCAGTACAGGGTCATCACCTGACATAGCCAGTCATCTTATGAACACAGATGTTGGTTCTGATAATTTTAGCAACATAATTAGTCCCTGGATCATTAGTATTATATATTTAAAGCTACAACAACATTAAATCACTTAGCATGCATGCTTAGTCTAGATAGTTATTTATTTATAATACTTAAATAGGTGATTATTAAAGAAAGACAACTCTTACTTCCATCATTTCTGGACAAAATGTTAAAAATGTACTTGAATCAGTGATTTAAGATTACTCATTTCAGTAATTCCCCTGACTAATATATATATATATAAATATAGATCATGTATATATATATATATATATATATATAAAGTAATTATTTCATAATAGATTTATTATATTTATGAACAGAAATGCATTTATGTTATAAATATGTCATCATGTTTTGAAAATTTTGAGGTTCAGTTACACTTCCTACATATTGTACTACATGTAATACAAATTTTGGGGGGATTCAATTTTTTTTCCCTCAAGATTTAAGAAATTGTCAATTTTCCAAAGATAAAAATTGGAGTCACAATTTATTTTGCTAATTCTTTGTATATAGTCTGAAAACAGATTTACTAAGTATTGCGCAACAGAATAGTGTATTGCACAACAGCAATAAATCTTCAATTGAATATATATTCAAATCATACAACCAATTTGAAGTTCTTTGACTACATTTATTCTGTATCAGAAACCTATAATGTGTCAAATATTTAATTACAATCCAAATTCAGACCTGTATCAAGCTTGAATATTGTGTCCATTTTTGCCCCAACTGTTCAGGGTTGGACCTCTGCGGTCGTATCCAGCTGCGCTCGGCGAAGCAGTTTATTAACATTTTGGAATAAAGTTTTATATTAAATTATTTTACATTGTACATTAAGCTCTGCCAAATGTACTTCAAGTGGATAAAACTTGTATATTCACAAGTCAGAAAATACTATGAAATATGCAATTTTAGCTCTGCCAAATGATGAAACTTTCATCATGATTCACAAGTCAGCATTAAGACATTTACTTATACAATAATATGTGCTTTCTCTTTCAGGAACATGTATAAACTAGTGAATTGATGGTTTAACTACCAAGATGTAATGAGAGATGTACAACTTGAGGTGTCAGGATTTGTGCAATTGTTATTTGCAGATATATAGCTGGATTTTGTCAAAATGTGAACTGTAACACTGGGATCAAATATGTTATTTTTTCTAAAAAATGATGAAATTGAGAATTAAATTTTTATATCTATTTACTGAGTTTATTGCTGCCCAAAAAGAGATTATTGCCTCTACTTTACAACTTATTTTGTCATAAATTGATTGTATATCTATTGTGACAATACATGTTGATTATTAGGGCCCAGTAGTTGACATGAGCCCAATACAGTAGTCTCTCTGTTTGTCTGTCTGTCAATACTTCTATGTCATACAATAAGTCAAAATTGTCTCAACTAATTTAAAAAATAAATGTGCTAAATGGAAATAAATATAAAAGGAAGGTCCCTTGTGTTTTATGTAAAATTTGGGAAAAAGTGGGAGAAAACTTGGTATTTGTAAAAAAATCACAAAATTTGATATAAGAGTTATGATATGCTTTTCAAAATTGGTTCCCAGTGTTAAATATTGATTTCTGTGATAATTTGGGGTAAAATTTACCATAAAGACTTATTTTTTTGTCTCGCCTGCGAATGCGAGTCAAAGGGATTACAATCCAGTAACTGCTGAAACTATTTGCATTTAGCTTTATATTCTGTGGGTAGATGACTTTGATGCTTCATTCATTATACACAAATACTTTATGTTACGAAGTTTCTGTCTTTCATATCGTCCTGAATATGCATGAAATATTTGCCACTGGAAGTTAAGGAACCAACAATCATCAATCAATCTGTCTTTTATGTGTCCATTGTCCTTGACTGCTTGGAATTTTTTAGTTTTATACAACTGCAAATTATGCTCACCTGGCTTGAAGGGCCAAGTGAGCTTTTCTCATCACTTGGCGTCCGTTGTTGTTTACTTTTACAAAAATCTTCTCCTCTGAAACTACTAGGCAAAATTTAACCAAACTTGGCCACCATCATCATTAGGGTGTCTAGTTTAAAAAATGTGTCCCATGACCCCGCCTGCCAACCAAGATGGCAGACATGGCTAAAAATAGAACATATTGGTAAAATGCAGTCTTTCGCTTATATCTCTGAAACTAAAGCATTTCGTCGTCGTCGTCCGAAGACACATTGGTTTTCCCACTCTAACTTTAGTTTAAGTGAATGGATCACTATGAAATTTTACCACAAGGTTCAATACCACAAAAGGAAGGTTGGGATTGATTTTGGGGGTTATGGTACCAACAGTTAAGGAATTAGGGGCCAAAAATAAGCATTTTTTGTAACTTCAAGACATAACTTGTGTGTTAGTGTATGGATCTCTCTGACATTGTACCACAAGGTTCCATATCACAAAGGGAATGCTGGGATTGATTTTGGGGGTAATTGCCTCAAAAGTTTAGGAATTAGGGGCCAAAAAAGGCAAAAAAAACGCATTTTTCTAGTTTCATGACAATAACTTGTGTGTAAGTGTATGGATCTTTCTGAAATTGTACTACAAGGTTCCATATCACAAAGGGAAAGCTGGAATTGAGATTGGGGGTAATTGCCCAAAATGTTTAGGAATAAGGGGCCAAAAGGGGCCAAAAATAAGCATTTTTCTAGTTTCCAGACAATAACTTGTGTTCAAGTGTATGGATCTCTCTGAAATTGTACTGCAAGGTACCATACCACAAAGGAAAGGCTTGGATTGATTTTGGGGGTAATTGCTTAAAAATTTTAGGAATTGGGGGCCAAAAAGGGGCAAAAAAACAAGCATTTTTCTAGTTTCCAGACAATAACTTGTGTTCAAGTGTACAGATCTCTCTGAAATTGTACTGCAAGGCACCATACATTGTAACACAAAGGGAAGGCTAGGATTGAGTTTGGGGGTGATGAATCATAAGGGGGTGCAAAAAATTTAAGGGGGGATTTTTTCCCCCTTTTTTATACGACCGCAAAAAATTTTTGCGGTCGTATATTGGTATGACGTTGGTGTCGTCGTCGTCGTCTGGCGTCTTCCGAAGACACATTGGTTTTCGCACTCAAACTTTAGTTTAAGTGAATGGATCTATGAAATTTTGCTATAAGGTTCAATACCACAAAAGGAAGGTTGGGATTGATTTTGGGGGTTATGGTACCAACAGTTAAGGAAACAGGGGCCAAAAATAAGCATTTTTGTAACTTCCAGACATAACTTGTGTGTTAGTGTATGGATCTCTCTGAAATTGTACTGCAAGGTACCATACTACATAGGGAAGGTTGGGATTGATTTTGGGGGTAATTGCTTCAAAATTTTAGGAATTAGGGCCCAAAAAAGGGGCAAAAAACAAGAATTTTTCTAGTTTCATGACAATAACTTGTGTGTAAGTGTATGGATCTTTATGAAATTGTACTACAAGGTTCCATATCACAAAGGGAAAGCTGGGTTTGAGTTTGGGGGTAATTGCCCTAAACGTTTAGGAATTCGGGGCCAAAAAACAAGCATTTTTCTAGTTTCCAGACAATAACTTGTGTTCAAGTGTATGGATCTCTCTGAAATTGTACTGTAGGTACCATACCACAAAGGGAAGGCTGGGATTGAGTTTGGGGGTGATGAATCATAAGGGGGTTCAAAAAATTTTGGGACGGGGATTTTTTTTTCTTTAAAATTTTCCATTTTAAATTGGTTATTTCTGATTTATATATAAAAGCTAATAATAATGATATGGTTTGAATAGGTAAATTAAAATTTGTTAAGTTCTTAGACGACATTCATTCTGTGTCAGAAACCTGTGCTGTGTCAAATATTTAATCACAATCCAAATTCAGTGCTGTATCAAGCTTGAATGTTGTGTCCATACTTGCCCCAACTGTTCAGGGTTCGACCTCTGCGGTCGTATCAAGCTGCGCCCAGCGGAGCATTTTATTAACAATTTTTTGCGTAAATTTTTTTAATCTTTAACAAAAATCTTCTCCACTGAATTTACTGGGACAAATAGAATTAAACTTAGCCACAGTTTTCAATAGGGTATCTTGATTGAAAAATGTATCCGATGACCCTGTCATCCAACCAACATGGCCGCCATGGCTAAAAATAGAACAAAGGGATTTACTATAGAATTCTAAGGGAAAATGGTAAAAAAAACAATTTCAAATGGTCACAACTTGAAAACTACTTTAAAAAATGATAAGGGGTCTTCAGTAACTATTGTAAGTCTAGTTACTAGTGGGATGACCTGCTTTTAATTTAACTACTGGGCCGAATTAAACCAAACTTGGCCTCAATCATTATTAGGGTATCTTATACTATTTATCATGATTTAAACCTTATTTTACAAAATTTCCAAAACCACAAAAGATACAGGTGAGCGACACAGGCTCTCGAGAGCCTCTTGTTCTTGTTTCAGGACAATAACTTTGGTATAAAATTGTGGATCTCTATCAAATTGTACCACAAGGTTCCATACCTCAAAAGGAAGGTTGGGATTGATTTTGGGGATTATGGTGCAAACCGTTCTAAAGGAAAAATGGGCAAAAAACAATACCTTTTGTATAAATTGCTTATTTCTTAACCAATTTCAATGGGGTTTAATTCAAAGTCTTGAATTTGTGGGGTTCTTTAATATGCTGAATCAAACTGGATATTGCAATTTTGGATTATTGTGGGGGGGGGGGGGGGGGGGGGGCGTTTTTAAATTGGTCCACATTGAGGTCCAAAGGGTCCAAAAATCAAACTCTTTGATTTCATAAAAAATTAAATTATTTAGTTTCTTTAATATGCCAAAACTAACCATGTACACTATTTTTATTTTTTGTCCGTTTTGAAATTGGTCCACATTGAGGTCATTTTAGGTCCAAAATAAAATTTTGTAACTGTGTATTTAGAATTTTGATTTTGGGTCTTGTTTTCAAATTGGTTCATATTATGTTTCAAAGATCTCCAAAGGGTCCAAAATTAAACTTAGTTTTGATTTTAACCAAAATTTAATTCTATGGGTTCTTTGATATGCTGAATCTAACCAAGCATTCAGATTTTGGATATTGGACCATAATGCAAATGCAGGTAAATGTCCAATTTCAAATTTTTTTAAGTTCATAGACCACATTCCTTCCGTTTCAGAAACCTATACTGTGTCAAATTTAAACACAATCCAAATATAGAGCTGTATTAAGCTTGAATGTTGTGTCCATAAAATTGAGAATGGAAATGGGGAATGTGTCAAAGAGACAACAACCCGACCATAGAACAGACAACAGCAGAAGGTCACCAACAGGTCTTCAATGCAGCGAGAAATTCCCGCACCCGGAGGCGTCCTTCAGCTGGCCCCTAAACAAATATATATACTAGTTCAGTGATAATGAACGCCATACTAAATTCCAAATTGTACACAAGAAACTAAAATTAAAAATAATACAAGACTAACAAAGACTAGAGGCTTTACTTGTTCAGGGTTCTGCGGTCGTATCAAGCTGAGCCGTCTAGATTTTTTAAATTTTATTTTTGTGTTGAGTGAATTTCCATTATTATGAGTAATAGGATAACTGTATTTGGTATATTGGTTCCTTACAAGGTCTTACGACATGTCCTTCAGACAGAGTTTACCTGACCTCAACTTCATTTCATGGATCAATGATCAAGGTAAAGTTTTCTTGGTCCATAACTGGTTTTAGAATAAATATGGTCCATAACGTAGATACTGGGCCCGTTTTTAAATTGGTCCACATTGAGGTCCAAAGGGTCCAAAAATCAAACTCTTTGATTTCATAAAAAATTAAATTATTTAGTTTCTTTAATATGCCAAAACTAACCATGTACACTATTTTTATTTTTTGTCCGTTTTGAAATTGGTCCACATTGAGGTCATTTTAGGTCCAAAATAAAATTTTGTAACTGTGTATTTAGAATTTTGATTTTGGGTCTTGTTTTCAAATTGGTTCATATTATGTTTCAAAGATCTCCAAAGGGTCCAAAATTAAACTTAGTTTTGATTTTAACCAAAATTTAATTCTATGGGTTCTTTGATATGCTGAATCTAACCAAGCATTCAGATTTTGGATATTGGACCATAATGCAAATGCAGGTAAATGTCCAATTTCAAATTTTTTTAAGTTCATAGACCACATTCCTTCCGTTTCAGAAACCTATACTGTGTCAAATTTAAACACAATCCAAATATAGAGCTGT